CACCTGAAACTTCTTTAATTTTTGCATATTGTTAACTTGTGCATACAATTGAAAATTTTGATTTGTTTCACTTCCTCAGTAAACAATATTTCCTGTAAAATTTTATTCAAAAACTTCTTGAAGAGTATTCCCTACTTCTAGTGGGGGTTTGCTTTAGCCCTAGTCTCATTGGGGGCTTATTATTATTATTATTATTATTATTTTAAGTTTATACAGTCCCAAAGTCTGGTCTGTCCGTTCTTCAGTCCTAGAACCTTGGGAAGTCAGAGCTTTTGATAAATGATTTAAAACTCACCGATTATACTAATTTAAAGTGAATCCTGTTTCATTTCAAAGTACTACCTACGGTGCCACTTTTTGAAACCCACAGTGCAAGTGGAACAGGAAATATTAATCAAATTATCTTTAAAATAATTGATTCCTTTAATAGGCTACTTATTGTGAACCAGTTATGCTCAACACCCTGTAATGTATACTATTGGGAATGTAAGGATGAGATTAGATATGCCCTCACAGAGCTCACAGTATGAATGACTATAATTTGAGCAAGGGGCAAATCAAATGGTTTTTAAAGAATTTTTATTCAAGGCCCTTTATAGGCTCTCCCTTCTGAGAGATCTCATTCACTCTTGTAACCATAACTGCGGTCAGCTCACACATGTACATTGCCATCCTTGACTTTTCTCCATCTAATCTCACATCTTCAATTGTTTGGGTGTTATCCATCACTTTCAACAAAGCACATTGCATCTCCTAAGAGGACTTAGTCATGACTTAACCATTTCTGTTAATGGTACAATCTTTAACTGATAACTCACTGTAAACCCCTTGAATCATCTCTGGCTCTTTCCCTTTTACATGCCCCTATATCTAATCGGTCCTTAAATTCTGTTCGCTCTTTACTCTTAGTGTCTCTCACATCTGTCTGCTCCCATGGTCACCTTCTCATTCAGGACATTATCATTTTGTGCCTGCATTACCACAGTGTCCTTGCAGGTATTTTTACTGCCTCAAGTGTCTTACTCTCTCAGTTCATTCTCCACGTTAATTTTTCTATAGAACACATTGAACGTGCCACGCCCTTTTTCAGTTTTTTTAGTGGGGTTTTATTGCTGCAAGACTGAGAGTTCATTCTCAGCTTTGGATATAAGATTTTTAATCCCCTAACTACATGCACCTTCTATCCCATATAAGCTAGCTTTCTCAAGTTGAAGTGATCTAGGGTTCTTCCAAACTCCAGTAACTCTTACGTCAGCCTGTTCATTTGTACATATGAATTATAGCTTTGCGTAGATTTATTCACATGATATACTTTGAGTCTCTGTCATTTGCATGGCATTGGGTTTGGGTATCCAGTGGCAAGCTACACAGACCTGTCTGCCCTTTTGGAGATTTTAGCCTAATAGTAGATATCAAATGGTCACACAGTTCTTTGTTTATGAGTGGCAGTTAGTGTTATAAACGAAAAATATAGGGTGCTGTTATAAGCACGTAATAGGGGGATCTGATATAATATAAAGGGTAGTGTGGAGAGTTAGGGAGGGTTTCCCTGAAGAAGTGACTGAGAGCTGAGAGTTAAGGATGAGTAAGAACTAACTAGAAAATTAGAAAAGCATTCCAGGCAAAGGCAACTGCTTTTTCAGAGGCCCTTAGGCCTTTACTAGTTATTCTGTCATATCTTCTTAGAGAGTAAATTAATTTATTTTTCTTAATTCCACTACTGTTTATAGCCCTGTCCTCATATACTATGTACTCAATAAATGTTTGATTGAACTATCTATTTTGGGGAATTGGACAAACTCTCCGGCTCTTTCTAGGCTGCACCATGATCACCCATTATCCTCCTTTGGTGTGCACTTAGCATTATAGCACATGAGAGAACTTATAAATTCTCTTATGTTTCCCAAGCTTTTGGATGATTTTAAATTGATTGCATTTTAAAAAACTTTTTATTTTGAAATAATTACAGATTCACAGTAAGTTGCAAAGATAATGCAGAGAAATTCCTGTGTATACTTCACCCAGTGTACTCCCTTGGTTACATTTTATATAACTATAGTACAACGTTGTACAACATTACTATAGTACAATGTTGAAGCCAGGAAATTAATATTGGTATAAGTATGTGTATAGGGATGTATCAGTTTATCACCTGTAACTACCACCACAGGCAAGATACAGAACTAGTCTGTTTTGCTAGCCTCAAGCTGCAAATTGACTTGCTCTCTTAACATGGACAACTGACAATAGTTAGAAGTTAAGCCCAACTATCGTATAAGCTTGAATTTGGCATCTGTTGATTGTTTGCCATTAGTTTACTTTACAAGGCACCAATGAGCACAGGGCATGTCTGGAGGTGATCTAAAATAAATTAATCAGTATGAACTTCCTAATCTTTCCTGGCAGTGTGTGAAGAACAGGAGATGCTCATTGTACGTTTCCGGACATCTTGCTCTCTCTGTAAGGAAAGATTGCCCCCTGAGTTCAGACAATGAGTGCTCAAGAAGTCTTCTAAGCTTTACCAAGAATTAGAAACACCTTTGTATAGGGTCTTTCGCTTTCTCTTGGAGAGATCTAGCCTTCCTCTCTCCTCTCATTCTCATTGAGAATTTTAAAATAGTGCCAGGGGGCAGGAATTTCAGTGATTTTTGACTTGTATCTTTTTTATTTCTGATTTGGCAATTGTTTTGCAGTGCCATCTATCATGTTGGTTTCTGGGTAAAGATATGAAATTATTAACAAAGGAAAATTTGCTGTTACTTTCTGGAAATTGGAGAACAGCTGCCTTCACTGAGCAGTGTAACTATGATTCTTGGGACTAGTCAGATAGGAATGAAAGGTATTCCAAATAAGAGCTGTTTTGCAGAAACAGCCTCCACTTGTCTCTTTGATAAAGGAAAACTGTTTTGACCTCATTCCGTAAAATCAAGAGAATAAAGAATTAGCTTAATTTTCTGGTATATTCATAATACAGTTATTGAGGGAAGGGGAATTATGAGACTTCATACTTTCTATTCAAAATGATAAGTTGTTGGTCCAGTGGGAAGAATTTCCAGCCTATAGGATCTGTTAATACATGAAGGTCTTTACCACCTGGAAAATGATTCTAGAACACATGATTCTTTTGCTTTAGGAGTGTTTTAAGAATTTATTAGGCTTTCAAAAAGTTCTAAGTGGTGACTGATTGGATAAGGGGAATGAGGAAAAGGACAGAGCCATGATCATGATCAAGCATGATTCACAGGATTTTTACCTTTGCAACTAGATGATTATCATCTACTAAGATGGTGAGGATTAGGAGAAGAATGTGTTACGGGAGTAAGGAGGAAAAACAAGTTTTATTTTGGATATGCTGAGTTTGAAGTGTTTTCTGGACATCCATTTAGAGGTGTTCAATAGGCACTTGGATATTCTGGAGTGTTTTCCGTACCAAGCAATTCTCTGTATGTACCAGCTGGATTGCCTTTAACTCAATTCTGACACTGTCTACCTGGAGATAGTGTCAGATCCCACAGGTTAAGGACTCAGCCCTGCAAGACTGCCCTTG